CAGACAGGGGGCCCAGCCCAGTGGCCCCTGCAGAATCTTCCCCCCACCCTCTCTCCAGCTCTTCCAAGCTCTGTCGACTCCCCCACCGGAGCTTCCTAGCACTAAAATAGACTTTTTCATCACCTCTCTATTTACATTAAAGATACAGACACATCACTATACACAAAAGGCTACGACAGCAAGCAGCGGAATCAGAAGAGAAGCAGCCCAAACCCAGCTCGGCCCAGCGGTCATTCTGCCAATGGGAGGTGCTTCCTCTCTTCTTTGCTGTGAAAATCCTCTTCTTGGTGGGGAGGGGAATTGTGTTCCTTGAGGTGGCTCGCCCCCAGATTTTGAAATCAGCCCTTCCTGGGGGTGGCCCAAAAGGAAGCAAGTTGTTTCGTTATTATTTTTTAAAACACCGTTAGCATCTGGTTTAATTATTCTATAAAAACATAATGACTGGATCCAGAGACCACAGCCTCAGACTCATTGGCAAAATGATATTTGGTCTCGCGTCGGCAGCCCTGGCTTTCTCTAACCGACAAGTTTCTGGAAAGGATTATCTGAGTAGAGAGAACTCGGGACACGTGGTGGCAGGCGAGTCTGTGACTCGGTGAGAGCCCAAGGAAGGACGGTGTGCTGAGCCGAACGCCCCGAGAGTTAGTGATGAAACCAGAAGGGAGAAACGCGCTGCGTGGTGGCTCCGGGGAGGCAGGAGGACCGAGGCTTGGACTAACCGGCAGTCCTCTGTTCTCAGCGGGCTGCCAAGTATATACAACAGGCATCGCTAGGGTGTGCTACACCTTCCACAAGGCGTGGGGGTCGACTGGAAGGGAGTCGGGGCAGAGAGGAGAGGGCGGCAGAGAAGTCAAGACTCCGAGGGTCTTCAAGGGACCCTGGCGCTCAGTTAACAATGTCTCCCAAGCAGCTAGGCTCCTAGGAGAGCCAAAGACAATGGAAAAGAGGGAGAGAGGGGAGGGCAGAGGGAGGGCCGGGAAGGCATTCAAGCAGCTGCAACTTCCGGATATGTGTCCACATCTGTGTTCCGTCTTCTGAAAAAGAAAAATCCCCCCAGAAACCACACCCTGCCCCTGCCATTGTCTGTCTGACACAAAGTTCCAGGACCCTGGAAAAAGCCCACGGTCCTCTTGCATCCTCCGGGGGAGCAGAGGGGAGGCGGCGGTGGTCTCTGCATCTTCCGGAGCTGCGGGGGGGGGAGTGGACCGACCTCTGAGGCCAGCCTCCGGAGGCCCACGCCTCCGGCCTTGCTGTGGTCTCAGACTTCAGAAGGTCTCCGGGGAGCATCAGAAAGGCTTGTCAGGTCTGCTGGCCTTGGCATCCCCCGCGGCCGCCTTGCAGATGACGCTGTTTGTGTGCTTGCAGCGGCACCCGGGGCGGCGCAGGCGGTCGTAGCCTCGCTGGGCCAGCTTCACGCAGCCGGTGGCGGGCAGGTAGCAGAGCAGGCAGGGCAGCACCAGGGAGAGCGCACCCATGAAAGACCAGCGCGCACAGCAGTTGGAGCGGGAGCAGGAGCAGGGGTGGTCGGCACAGGAGCCCTCATCGTCCTCGTTGGTGCAGTGGTAGAAGACGCCCTGCACCAGGCACATGCACGTGCTGTAGTTCACCAGGGTCTGGGCCGAGCACAGGCACTCCTGGTTGCAGACCCAGCAGGAGGGCAACGTCCTGGGGGCCGCACACTCCTTGCACTTGCACTTCCCGCAGGCCTCACACAGCAAGAAGTGCTTGTCCAGCTCGGGCGGGCCTGCGGGGCCCTTGAGGTCCAGCGGCTTGCAGTGGACCGCCTTGGGCTGGACGCGCACGGCCCTGGGTGAGGCCTGGTCGGCCACGGGTGGGGGCGCCATGTGGTCTAGGAGCCGTTGGTCGGAAGAGGTGCTGCTGCTGCTGCTCACCGAGCTGGGGCGCCCGCTGAAGGAGATCCAGTGGTGGGTGACATCCTGGTCACAGCGGGCAGGCCCTGGGGCCAGCTCCTGCAGCCCGCCCCGGCTGCGCTTGGGGCCGGCGTGGGGCGCCAGGCCAGGGCTGTCTATGTAGTCGTTCTCGGCGTGGCTGGTCTTCATCTGGTCGATGGGCAGGATGGTGAGGGGGTGCTGGAGCCGGCCGTGGGGCGTCCGGCCGTCAAGCAGGGGCTGGACCATGACTGAGCTGGGAGTCAAGGGGGCGCTCTGTGGGATCGGGGGCTCCATGGGGCCGGAGGTCCTGGGTTGCGCGGAGAAACAGGCTTCTAGGGGCCCTGGGGTGGGTGGGGAGAAGGAAGAGAGAATGGATGCTGGGCATCAGTACGCAACCTGTCACATCTACCCCAAAAGGTATCATAGCCCCTCCACGGACTCTCCAGCCACCCCCAAAGCTTAGATGGCCAATAACGACAATAACAGCAGTAACAGTCACTGGTAGAAATAACACGTATGGCGCATTTAAGATGTGGACACACTCTCTTAGGTCCCAGACGTATGAAGTCATGACTCTTCCCCATGAGCCTAAAAAGTAACTACTGCTGTCCCCCTCCTCTTCCTTACTACAAGAAACAAATGTTCAAAGTAACCCGTCCAAAGTCACACAGACCAGCCAGTAGCAGGCCTAGAGTCTGAGTTCTCTCGTAATCCCTGCTCCTTATTTAAAGTATACAGCTCAGTGGCTATAAGCACAGGCTCTGGAATCAGATCCACGTTTGAATTTTCATCTTGGCTGAGCAGTATTGCTGCCAATGAGTTATTTAGCCTGTATGCCTCAGACTCAGCTTTTATCATCTGTAAAACGGGTTTTTCTGAGGACTAAATGAGAAAACGCGTATCCAGTACTTAGCATGTTGCCTGACACACAGCAAGCACTCAACAATTTGTCACTGACCAAGAGAATAACCGCTTAGGTTTCCTGAGCACTTATGTGCATTCCATGCCAAGCATTGTGCTGGGTACTGAGGACGTGGTCAACACCACAGACAGCTCTCTGTGCTCCCACAGAGTTTATCAGCTGGATAAACAAAAGCCTTTATTTCAGATATTCACGGGAGGAAGGAAGGGTTGTATCTGTTGCCCGTACATCCATGATATTAACCAATTACTAGCACTTCTGACAAAGCAATCTCCAGCAGCTAGTAACCCTGGGTATGCGGCCTTCTGACAACTCGGAAGGGGAATCCTCGAGGGGCATTCACATCACCCACAAGTGCTGAGCTGAACATTCGGCCTAAACGCTATTTACTAGAATAGCTAAGCCAACCCTGGATCAGTTTCTAATTTCACTGAGAGAGTGCAATTTTAAGTTGGAATCCGGCCAGAGATTCAACTGCAGTGCCTGACACGGAACCCCAGGAAGTCACTTAAATCAAAGAGCGGAAACGGCTTGGTTCAAATTTAGAAAGTGCACATTGTTTTCTATTAGAAGTGCCATTTCCTTGCCTGCTGACCTTTACATTTGGAATTCTGCTGGAGATCAATTTAAAGAAATAGCAACAGAAGGCCAAGACCTCTGCTCAAGGGGACACAACTTGGAATCCGAGGGAAAGATTAGACTCTGGGAAGATTCCACCCCAATCTTAAAAACCCCAGGGGACAGGGAGGGAGGGTAGAAGCGGAAGACAACAGCCCTTAAAACAACAAAAAGAAGACCACTGGATTAATGTGATATGGGTGGGGTTTTGGCAGACGCTTTTCCAAGATGCTGATGATGTTCTCACTAGGAGAACTGATCCTACCCCTCCCTGCTGTTGGGTTCATCTGGTCTCCCAGGTGCTGTATGAGAAAGGGGTATGGATAACCCCCTGTCCCTCTGAATTCAGGACGTGGCTGGTCCACCCCAATACGCCAATCACAGGAGAATGACACTGGGTCCCCTGGAACTCCTCAGTACTGTAAATGCCTATGAGGAGTGGAATAAAAAGGCATTCAGCTCAGTATTATACTTGCCCTACTTGGGACAACAGTTAGACCACAAAGAGTTAAAAGTGTGGGGAAGAAGAACTTCCTTGGACACTTCCGGCTTGTCTAAAATAAAGAGCTAGTTCTAGATGGAAAGCTGCTGAGAGGACTAAAAAGGGGGTTATCCACAGTGCTGTTACCTGTGTATCACCTACACTGCTAATGCAAACAAAAGCATCCAGTCTTTTCTACAAGGTTCCATGCTCAGTCGACTGATGATTCACACAGGGCACCAGCAATTGGCTTTGCTCCCACGGCCCTGCCTTCTGAAAAGATGCTGGTACTGCCAGGTGTGATGGCCCACTCCTGTAATCCCAGCACTCTGGGAGGCAGAGGCAAGAGGGCTGCCTGAGCTCAGGGGTTCAAGACCAGCCCGGGCAACTAGGCAAGACCTCATCTCTACAATAAAGCAAAAGAGTAGCCAGGAGCGATGGCATTTGCCTATAGCTCCAGCTACTTGGAAGGATAGCCTGAGCCCAGCAGGTCGAGGCTGCGGTGCCCATGAGGGTGCTGCTGCACTCCAGCCTGGGTGAGAGTGAGACTCAGACTCAAAAAAAAAAGATGCTGGTATCTCTTTAGTTTCTCCTGTCTTGAAGAAGGCCAACCTAGTGGCAGTGCTTGCCCCTATGTTCTCTTTAGATGAAATCAGATCATCCCTGTCACATAGGAGACTTTCTCATGTCAGAGTTGGCCATAAGCGTCTGGCAGGTGGCCTCCTGTGAGGATCCCATAGATATGGTGGACTGTAGGTGAGCATCTTTGGAAAGAAATTTTTCCAAGGACCAGACTGGCGACGGGGCAGGAACCCCAGAGCATGCTGCCTCAGTCTGCCCTCTTATTCTGAGTAGGGGTTCCAAGACTTTGCTTCTAGAATAAATGAGTTTGGGGTCAACAGGCCAGGATTAAGTACTCCAGGTCCCAGTCCTGGGAACTTGGCTGAAGGGAAAGGTATGACCTAGCATAAGAATGGAAGATGCCATGGGAAGACTCTGATGCCAGTCAGAACTCTCACCCCGGACAAATACAACACGATTCTCTTACTCCAGAAACCCGAGTCAGGAATACTCTAGGTTCTGCCAACAAAGTGTTAGCGGCAGTTTGAAGTTTATATTGCCTTGTGTAGTTGCATTTTTGTCTCTCAGGACCAGGATTTCAACTGGCTACCCTGCGGGAGAAACAAGTAAAGGCACCTCCCCCCCAAAGCAAATTATCCACTATCCTTTCCCCAATTCATCACGAAGTATCTTTAAAAACAGCCATAATTCTAACAGATGAAGGAGAATGGGCAGTGCTTGGGATTTTTTTTTTTTTTTTTTGAGTTGGAGTCTCACTCTGTCGCCCAGACTGGAGTGCAGTGGCCACTCCCGGCCACCGCAGCCTCGACCTGCCGGGCTCCGGCGATCCTTCCACCTCAGCCTTCCGAGTAGCCGGAATTACAGGCGCGTGCTACCATGCCCGGCTGGTGCTTGGGAATTTTAACAGGCCCTGGAATCAGAAGGCAGATTCCCCAATTCTCAGAGGAGTCCTCCCCCCAGAAGCCAGGGGAGAAGCAGCCGCTGTAGGCAATGGGGTGTTGGAAACAGCAGGCCCCCATCACCCTCTAGAAGCAGCTGTTAACATCTGGGCCTGCAGTTGAGGCCAGACGTGGGGGTGGGAGCTTGGCCCACGATGACTCGGCTCTGGTGGGACCTTGCAGCACCCAATGGCTCCGGCAGGCATAGCTTAGGATGCATCTTCACCATCATAACTCTGATGAAAAATTCCTTCCGACCACCAGCTCAGCAAAAACCAAGGGCTGGCTTGGCGGTCCCGGCTGGCCTCACCTCCCCATTAGCAGAGACCTTCACAGGAGGGCCTCTAAGAGCCTCAGCTGAATTTATTTGGCTGACAAAGAAAAACAACTTCCTGAGCTGCCTGTTTGATAACCCCTCAGCAGGGCTAAATGATGTCTTCAAAAAAAAAAAAAAAAAATCCAACTCTCAATTCGTTAAAAGATCAATCTCTACTCACTGGGCCGCACCCAACCTCCAGTCAGAGCAAGGCTGCCGATCTTAAGTGCAGTTTAATATGCACTCTCTGCTTCCCCTGCAAGGAAGGAAGAGATTTACAATATAAATAGGAGAGAGGAGGCCGTGCCTCACTGAGACAGTTAAGAAGACACTGATGGCCAATTTGGATGACTCTGGGCAGAGAAACCAAGCCAGCTCGCCACTTAGCCAAGAAGCACCTCTATCAGATTTTAGGTAGCATTCTTACAGACTGTGAGGGAAGGAACTCCTACCTCCACTCAACCTTCTAGTAATAAGTAGTAATCATGGGAGCAGCTAACATTTTCAAAACATTTCCCGGCAACAGGCTCTGTGCTAAGCCCCCAGTGATTTATTTTTTCACTGAATCGTCACCATACTTGGAAATGGTACCCATTCTGCAGAGGCAGAAGTGGAAGCACAAAGGGTCCTGGAGTTAGAAGTGTTCAAGGCAGGCTTTTAACCCAGATGGCAGAAACTCCAGAGGCGGAAACCTCAACCATCAGCTCACAGTGACTTGCAGAAGGCCTCTATGACCTCCAGGTATTCATGGAGAGGCAGGAAAGCCCCAATCACTTTCACAACCATGAACTTCTCCAGCCCCAGGGAACCTGGTCGAGTCACCCCAGAGCTCAGTAACCCAACCAGTAGGAAGTGAAGCCAGATAGAGCTTCTCTGTCAGACTGAACCCCAGTGAGGGGAATTTTCAGTGTGCAAGGAGAAGACTGGGGGGTTTGTCAGCTGTCACAAGGAAGGCTCAGAGTTCGAGTTCTCACCACTTCCAGTTTAGTGTTCTTTGCCATCCCTTCTGTTCCCTCATCCTCTATGGTGATTTCGTTTTCAGCTCCCTTAAAAGTTGAATGGGTTAGCCGGGCTCGGTGGCTCAGCCTGTAATCCCTCGCTTGGGGAGGCTGAGGTGAGTGGATTGCCTGAGCCTGCAGATTCAAGATCCGACTGGGCAACTTGGCGAGACCTCATCTCTAAAATAAATGAAAAATTAGCTGGGCCTGTAGTTCCAGCTACTTGGAAGAATGAGGCAGAAGGATCGCCGGAGCCCAGCATGTCGAGGCTGCAGTGACCGGGAGCGGCCACTGCACTCCAGTTTGGGTGACAGAGTGAGACTCCAACTCAAAAAAAAAAAAAAAGTTGAATGGGTTTTACAAAGCAGTCCACAAAGAGAAACCCTGAGGGTAGAAGGGAATCCCCCTCTTCCCCACCTGTCAAGTTGAATTTAAGGGTCCCCAGGGCACCTTCATCGATGGGACTTCCTGGCCCAGGTCTTTTGA